CATCATTCTCAAATAGTAGTAAACCAAAACCCATCAGCTGTTCTAGTTTCTAAATCAGCCCTCTGGAGTTGGAACTAGTGGTAGTAGTTCAGTTGAATGAGTACCATCCGGTTTCGACTCCCGCTGTTAACATGGCTGGTGATGGTGATGCTAGGGCGAGCCCCTCCCAGCCCGCAACGAAGGCTAACTAGTCCACGGGACCAGATACTCACGCTACACTGCTATGACAACACAAAAAAAAAAAAAAAAAAAAACTTCTAAATCAAAATTTCAGTTCTTCCTTGTTTCCGTATCCCCAATTCTACCTTTGCACGATAGAAACAGTAATTGGGAGCAATGCTTCCCGACGGGGGCGGTTCTCCCGCCACAGGCCCGTTGATTAGGCACATATTTAAAGCTGAAGAAACCCTCCTCCGCCCCTCTACTGCTTGGCCGGTTGCCGGTAAATCAAGATTCAGCCTCTCACCGGATTCCTCAAACACCCTCAAAAACCCACCTCAAGATTGCTCTTATATATCAGCAGCAGGGATCGTCGTAGCCCACAATGAAGATCTCTTGACACAAATTTTACTTTGTTTACCCCCAAAATCCCTCATCCGCTTCCAGTGCGTCTCCAGAGGATGGCTCTCGATCATTTCCAACCCCTCTTTCCGCCGTCTCTACTGTGGCAGCAGCAACACTCGTGCCCTCTTTTTGTTCCGCAAAAAATGGCGGAAAAACCCGGAGCTCAATTTCATCTCTTTCTCCGACGAGTATGTAAGTTCAATGGAAACTGCCGTCTCCCACTTAAGCAGTAATTTCTTTACTGATGGTGAAATTACGGATTTACATTCTTGTAATGGGTTAGTAGCTGTTGTGTTAAAATTAAGGGATGGTAGTCGAGAATTTTCTGTGTACAACCCCTCAACTAGTCAGCATAGGCTTATCCCACAGCTCAATCTTTTGGAAAAAAGGCATCCATTTGTGGCTCTGAATATTGCATTTGACCCTTTAAAATCTGATCACTATAAATTGGTGTGTGTTTGGTGGGGATCCCCAGCTATCACGGATAGATTCGCGATGGGAATCATGAATATTAGTTATGGATTCTCTATATATGAATCAGAAACTGGGACTTGGAGGGACAGTGGGGACATTTTTGAGATAGATTATGCTCCTTTACATACCTTTTTCAGGAACGGTGTGTTATGGAATGGCTGTCTCCATTGGATTACTGATTGGAAGGCTATTGTTTGTTTTGATTTAGATAAAGAAGACATTAACTTCACATTGCCTTCTCCTCCTGCCTCAATGGAGCACTCTGGAATTTGGTACTTTGGGGAGTCTGGTGGATGTATGTACTTTATTGATATTAACAACCCTGGAGAAATGTTGTTTGATGTTTTTGAGTTGGCAAGTGGATGTTCTGAGTGGGTTCTGAAGCACCATCTTAATCTTGCTCCTCTAACTACTTTATACCCCTCAATGGTGGATGAAGAGTTCGATCACTCTGATGATTGGCGATTTAGATTTCGTTTAACTTATTTTGTTGAGGATGAGAATGAAAAGAAGGTGAGGCTAGTGATATCTCTTCTGGGCAAAGTAATTTTGTATGACATCAATGACATGGTTGTTAAGGAGCTCGCTGAAGTAGGGCCAACAGATACTGATGATGACTGTAGAGATAACTTGTATCAGTGGAAGGATGGCTACCCTGTTATGAAGACGCTCACCTATGTTTGACTTGTTTCTCAAACGTTCCTGCATGTACTAACTACTAAGTAGCTTTATGTACTTTCTTTTTGCCTGCCTACCACTTGAACACTTTAACAGTATGGAACCATTACTTGGTTTGCAAATGTTGGCATTTATTATGAATTGACGTAAACTTGGTACGGTTGTAGAATGCTTTAAGGATGAATTTTATGAACTAAATTAGTCTTGCAGTTTAATTTCCAGATGTTTTAGTTGTAATTTCATTGTTATAGTTATTACTCATCTGAATGCCAAAATTTTGGAACAGGTGCCCTTTAGCTTAATCTGGTTTTCTATTAAAGATTCTTCTTTTGCTTCCTGATGATTGAAATACATTTTTGAAAGCATGTGTAGCACTGGATGGTTTAGAAATTAGATATATGGAAAGTCTGTTAGCGTGCATTCATGGATTTTGGTCTTGGCAACAAGTATTGCATCTTACTAGCTTCTTGATGATTTCCTCGTGAAGTTTTAACCTTATAATTCACCTGTTTGAGATAATAACTTAAGGAATTTTAGTTACACATGCTATTTTTCATAAATTGGATAGCAGTGAGTATGGTTCCAAAGTGCTCTAAGAATCAATATAATGAGTTGAATGGATCTTGTGGCCTTGTTGTGAGATTCAACTGTTATGCTTCTCCTTTTCAGTGGAAAAATTTTTGCAACTGGATTCTAGCTGTAGATACCTTACAATTATAATTTTTTTTTTATATTACAATGATTTGAGAGGAGATACCTTACAATTATAATTTTTTTCGATATTACAATGATTTGAGAGGGTTTTCTATTTCTGATTAGTGGGTGTTTTCATGATTTTCGGTAAAGCATATTCATGGTTAGGCTCCTTTTGGCATCACCTGTATGTATCAGATATATGCTGAAGGTATGCGTGTCCGTAAGGCATATCAAACTAGAAGCAGTAAGTTATTCTTCACTAGTTTCTTAAACCAGATGTTTGATTATTTCCTTAAACAAAATTATTTGTTGTATCTTCACACAAGTTTACAATTCTCCTCTGGGTTGTTGCATGATAGTGCTGCAAGTTGTTCCAGCCCCATACATATTCTGAGTAGTTGCATCCCTCGTGTTATGTTGTGAATAAATTCTCTGGTAACGTGAGCATGTACGTGTGTCAAAGTTCTTGAGGGAGTAGTTGTAACTCGAATAACAAAAAGGGTGGTCTTTTTTACTAATAAATCTCGGTAGAGGTTAGTGTAATTTGCCATATTCCTGAATGCCAATTGCCACTTAGTTCATTGAAGTTTGTTTTATCTATCATGTTCACACTGAATATGTACTAGATACTAAGGAGAGTTGTCCAGATCTTGAGGAAAAAGTATCCATGATTAGCCTCCTTTTGAGATCAGTTACATGTTTCTGCACTGCACAAAGTGCATTATGTCCAGGATGCATGTCTTTGAACCAGAAGCATGAACCTACTTTCCTACAAGTTTCAAACTTTACCCTAATATTTCTTCAAACTGCTGATTGTTAAGATTACATCTCTTTATAATTATTTAATTATTAACTGTTTTTTTTTGGAATTAAACATTACATGAATTATGATTTGAAGTTGCTGAAACTTCTAAATTAGAGAGGGAAGTGATTGTAATACAGATTTTTCGGAGGTTACTATGCTTTACCTTCGATCTTACCAGCAAACATGAGGAAAGTATATTTGTTTTTGTAACAAGGTACAGAAGCAGAGTTATCAAATTACAATACATCCTCATATGAAATTTTCAAGGATAAGAGTTGACTGTATTTTTCCAGGAAGCTCATAAGCTTGATGATGGAAAGCAAGCAAGCCATTGATGTCAAAACAGTTTACTGAAATTCTTGGGTGATGTGTTGTTTTTGGAGTCTGCATACTCCTTATTTGATGTTGTGACTATATAATTTGAATATGCTGCATTCTCAATTTGGAAATCTTTACCTCAGGGCTTGTTTCACACAAATTCAGTGCTTTGGACTTTTCTGTTTAATGTCTATGGTTTAAGCTAGCAAGGCAGTTGAATAAGTACATTATTCAAGATTGATCTTATTCCTTAATGAGTTCAAAACTTGATCTTCAAATTTGGCTTTATAATTCAAATCCAACTCAAACAAGGTTCAAGTTAGCCAAGCTCAAGAAAATAAGAAATTGTTATGAAACAACTAAACGAGATGAATGTCCATTAAATTCTCTTATGTCCATTGATTTTTCCTATGTCTATTGAATTCTCCCAGAATATGAAAGGACAAAAGAATTGGAGTGGATGACCGTTTAGTTTTCCGACTTATTAATGGAATTTTTTTTCTTCCTCTTTTTTGTTTTCCCTATAGATTTCACATAGTACTTTATTTCTCTTTTTTTCCTTTCAATTGCAGAACAATTAATGATTCAGATTGAACCGGATGTGACGTGACATTGAACTGACCCTTTCATCAAAAATAAAAAAAAGAAAAACAAGAACGATTCAAATTGAGCATTTTTTTAAAATCAAAAATCAAATTACGATTGAGCCTAACTTGATCGTTGATAATGGTGCAGTTGGGTTTGTCCCTTTTCCCCACAAGTTAGCAGTAATTGTAAGAAAGGAACAAAAAAGGAAATAATCCATCCGTTTCATTTTGATAGTTTCGATTTTTCTTTCTCACATAGTTTAAAAAAAATAAGGTTGTGTTTGGATTGCATTTTCCATCATTTTTCATGGAAAAATTATTGTAGCGATTTGATATATGTGAGGGAAAAAGATGATAGGGAAATGTGATCACAGAAAACGACAATATTTTCCGACGAAAACAAGCAATCCAAGCAAGACATAAGTTTAAAAAGTAAATGTAGTCTAATACTTTCCTAAAATACCTTTATATTAATATTTGAAGTATCACTAATCATTGTATCTTTATATTAATTACAACAACAACAATAATGATATCATATTGCACCATTCAAAACATATATTAACACAATTTTGAGTAGAAAAGTTGAGTATATTAAATAAGGTAGGCTATATTTACTTATTATGAAATACATTAAATAAAGGCATGTTAGAGAATTTAAAATTAACTATATTCTTGAATTAGAAGATGGACTATAATTTGAGACATACAAAGAAAAAATTACCATGAAAGAGGGATGGAGCGAGTAATAATGATAGTAATAATAAAAAATAAAACAAAAAGATATGGCCCCATTTGGGCACAAGCCTTGGGCTGATTCTGTGGGCTTAGGATTTCCTATTTTGTTCCGTTTTCTGGGTTTTCTTTGACCACTTGACGACTTCTTCAGCCCCAAATCAAAAGTAACAGCCACAAAAATTTTCCTCAGCTCCGCTGCTGCGGCAGCAGCAACCCAGCTGACTGCCGGAAAATCAAGATTCAGCCTCGGAACCTGAGGTCAGGCGATCTTCTTCTCCTCCTGTTCATCATTTTGCAGCAAGTATTATAGGCAACAATGAAGATATCTGAACACATCTTTTACTTTACTTCCTCCTTCGATTTCGGTCAGTCTCCAAGCAATGGCTCTCAATCATTTGCAGCCCCATTTTCAGCAGTCTCCATTCTGGATTTTATTCCTCCACCACCACCACCACCACCACCGCAACTTGTTCCTCCTGTAAAGATGCTGCGTTCGTTTTGGTTGAACTCGAAAGGGACAGGCTGGATTTCATCTCTTTCCTCCAAGACTATGCAAGTTCAGCGGGTATATAGTGTTTCTGACTTGAACAATTTCAGTTTCTTTGAAGGTGGGCAGGTTCATGGATTAAATTATAGCAATGGGTATTGTCAAAGGACACGAGAGATTTTTGTTTGCTGCTAAACTACTGGCTGCTAAACAGGTCTGGCACACCTGTGACGTAGTCAAGTTGGAAGTTGGTTGAATTATTCTTATAGGCCTGAAATCAAAGTGCCTTCATCCTCTGTATTTGTTCATTGAAGTTTGTCTCTTTAGTCATGTTCACTTGGATAATGTTTTGGATGTTCCCCAGGAATGTACTAGATGCTAAAAAAAGGCGTCCAGATCTTAAGTAAAACTTATATATGATTAGTCTTCTTGTGAGATCACCTGTGCTTTATGTCCAGGATTTACAACTTTAAGCTAGAAGTGTGAAAGCCACTTTTACCTACTTTGTTAGACGCAAATATTGGTTGAAAGAACATAAATATACAAAATTTTAATGTTAAATGTTGTGAAAGATTTGTGATTCCAGTGAATCAAATTAACCACATTGTTGGAAGGACATCATACTACCTCCCTTAATATTTTTTAATTGTAGGGACTTCCCTTTTGATCTTAAGATTACCCAAACTCTGCCAGATTTTTTAAATATTGTTTCTTTTTCATTCAGTTATTGTTATAACCTTCCACGTATGAATAATAGGACATACATATTTGGAATTACAAAAAGCATGTATCGTAACTTGAAGTCACTGTAAATTCTAGCTTTAGATAGGAAATGCTTTTACTACAGATGTGTTAGTGTTTACCATAATTTACCTTTGCCCTTATGAACAAATCTATTTAAAATTGGTGTTAGTGTTTACATATTGAATGTAAATGTGTTTCACAATTTATCAGTTGTTTGTCCAACAAGCTTCAAAAGCCGAGTTATCAAAAGAGAATACATCTGTGACCTGAATCTTTGAGTATAAGAATTGAATATGAACATTTCTATGATTTTTAGTTAATAAGGCTATAAGTTTCTGATGTAAAACCAAGATTTAATATCAAAAAAGTTCATTAAAATTCATACTTGCTGTAACTTTGTATTTGCAATTTGCATATTCCTTATTGATGTTTTGACTTACTTTTCTGCAGTGTTTTCCCATGGATCGTTTGACACAAATCTGGTAGATTGGTGCTCTCATTACTGTGTTTGATATCTAGGGTCTAAACATTGACTGCTAAATGTGTCTGGCACAACTGTGACACGTTCAAGTTGGAATCTGCTTGAATTTTTCTGGATTAATAGCTTTGAAAGAAAACTGCCTTAATCATTGGTGTTTGTTCACCGAAGTAAGTTTGATGGATCATGTTCACATGGAACATGTACTAGATTATAGGTATACTAAGAATAGGCGTCCAGATGTTAAGTAAAAGGTCTCCATGATTAGCTTCATTGTGAGGTTATCTATATGTTTCAGCATTATGCAAAGCACTTATGTCCAGGATGTACAAATTAAAACTAGAAATGCAAAGCCATTTTTACCATTTTGGTTACAGGCTAATTTTGGTTGATTAAGGTACGAGTTCTTAACTCTCAATGGAAGTTATGGCATGAATCTAACCAAATTTTAATGTTAAATGTTGTGAAAGACCTGTGACTTCCATGAATCAAAAAAATGATATACTTGAAAGGACATCATACTAACCTCTTCTAAATCCTAACTATATAAAAAAGCCATTGCTCATCTGCAGTACTTTTAGTCCGCTATGCATTTTGGAAACTTTGTTGCTTTTTATTACCTTTTGGGGTTATAATTGTCTGTTCATCTTATTCTTGTGGTGTCACCTACCTGAGAATTAGACCCCAATGACCACTTCGCTTTCCATCATTTAAACATCTCTTCAATTCCCGATCCCTTATTCACCCATGCAGCCCTAATTTATTTATCCTTGGCCTCCCCCATCATCCTGCTACAGAAAAATCTACATGAAACCCATCTACATACACCGCCCAATTTATCTCTTCTCAACCTCCGTTGTCTCCACCATCCAATTTCCTCTGTCTTACTAGTGAAAGCAGTAAATTTTGCAGCTTTTGAGGTGCTGACTTGATTTAGTGCTTCAAGCCTTTGATTTAGCTTGGGTATTTTTATGGTAATTAACGTTTCAAATTTTTGCTATTTATTTTGTTCTATAGTTCTAATGTTCCATTTGTGCCTTCCATTGTTTAAGTAATTAATGTGGCTGAGAAGTTGTAGGTCTTTAAGAAATTTTCCCTCTTTTTTGGTTGAATTTCTTTACTGTTTTGGTGGATAGGGTGCGGCGATGAATTATTTTGTTTTATTGTGATGTATTTGATTGAAATCCTTAATAACTTCTCTTGCTATTTATTAAATGGATAATCACCTCTATTTGGACCACTTTCTGAATTTTATTTATTTTTTATTTTTTAACACAATAAAACAAGCAGGAATTTGTACAATTCATGTATTGCATGTAAGTTTTCCCTCAGTTCTGCTGTAACTTTTCAAATATCTACCAAGCTATTTCTATCCTGAGTGTTTAAGGATTACGTAAGAATTTAATTGTTATAGTCATAGCCTGGATGTTTTTGGTTGCATGTTAGATATAAAGTGATTTCTTTCTGAATTTAGCTTTGTTGCTGCTGTGTGGTTATCATTATGCTATTAAATGTAAGATGTACACTGTAATTCCATTTAATTGACGATATCCCTGTTACCTACAGATGGATCTCTTCTTATTAGTGAATGTGATTATTTTTTAGATTGTTTGCTTTTCATATATAGTACTTTAGTTCAGGTGGTCCTAAGGTCGCATTGTGTTTGTTGTACTCTTTTTCTGTGGTCATGTCCTGTGTGAAGTACATTACAGCTTTTGGTATCATGTTGACTATTCCATTGCTCGTTGAGGTTTACTGCATCCTACCTTATCTTACTGTCTATTATTTGTTGTCAGAAGGAATTTGATTTAAGCTTTTTCTCTCAAGATGTTTTGCTCTAGGGTCCATGAAACAACTTCAAACATGAATACCCTTCTCCATTAAAGGCTATGTAGTTTCCTTTTCTGTTTACTGCAGACTCTACAAGTCTAGAATTCTGTATTGCTTTTGTTTTTGTTCCTGTTTATTTATCATATATTTCCTAAATGACTGTTGCAGGTTAATTTGTGTGAACATCTCTGATTAAAAGCTGGCATCACTCTGAATCTTAATGCTGTACCCTACAGTGCTGTAAGATGGATGCATGCAATCAAGAGGTTTTTCAATGACAGTGGTATGTAACTACTAATTATTCTATTTTAATATTCCAGTATAATGCTTGATATTGTTTTCCTTTAAAAAATGAACTTGCAAAAGTAAATACTGTTTTTTCTACACTTGTTTGTAAGTAGATAAGTTACGTCACAATATAGTGCTACTCACCTACAGAGAAATTTTGAAAACTATCCTGCAGTGCCACTTTAAAAGACGCTTATTTGCGGTGCTAAGCTTGACTGAATGTGCTTAAGCTAGCATATTTTTATTGCTCGAACACTCAGTAGATGTAGAAATTGGGTAAATCACATATCTGAAGGAGCTCCCGTAAAATCATACAACATGCTAATCTGATATATGCAGGTTTAGTATATTTAGATGTGCTATCCAAATTTAAAGATGTCAGGCCTGTTCAAGGTTTTGTGTATTTCTGATTGCATGATCTTAGAATGCTGCACCAAGCAGCATTAGGATTTTTCACCCAGGTGAATAGTGAACCATTTTTTCTATAGACCTAAATGTGTCTGATTAGTTCTAAGTTATAGAAGCTAATTTTAAGCTATTGTTCAGTTGACTGCACATAGTTATTGGTTTTTAGTGATGAAATTATCTGTTGAGGATTTTTTTTTTTTTTTTTAAATTCCAGTGAGTGTTGGATTCATAAGAGAATCACTTATGTACGAAAGGAATTGCAGGACAAAGTGAATCATAAGATCTATTCATAGCATTTTCTTGGCTCCTTCTACCTGGAAATTACTGTTGTTAGAGTTTTCTTATTCTCATCATTTCAATTGTTTATATTGTCAAGCGGTAATATGTAGGCCATTTTGCCATGGTTTTCCCTAATTTAAACACTGGTTCAATAACTATTACTTGGACATTGAATTCTTATAATATTGATGGGCTAGTACAAAACTTTTACTAATAATTATTTTATCCTTTTCATAGCGATCCTGATGGTTATAAAACTTTGCTCATTTTGCTGTTTTCCTTCCCTGTTGTCGAATGATTTTGGTCTAATTTAACTTTCCAATTTGGTTTTTAATGCAGAGAAACCAAGTATTTGCCTATCAGCTAGACAGACTTCTGCTCATTCCTTTGGTATGTAATATCAACCCTTGAATTATTGTTTCTCTACATAGATCAATAAGTTTTATTTGTTTCAAAGTGCTCGGCTCTATTTCCATCTAAACCTTTGCCTTAACTAATAAAGGAGTACAGTTCCAAGGAACATCATCATTGCATCTTTGCCTTCTCCAGACACCTCACTTGCCAGTACTTTCGTGACATATCCTATGGTTTGTAAATATGCCTAGTCTTCCCTTAACGTATCCAAACTTGTGCAATCTGTAACTGATCCTACAGTTACTAAAATGCTTTTGCTATCACTCTAGGAAAATTACTTTAGCCTAAGCTTTCTAAGTTCTGAACATCAACCTTTCGTCAACTATCAAAGCATACAACCAACATAATTATGCGACTGTAATCTATATGTGATTATGCCCAGGGTTGCGTGAGGCAAAATCGCCTAGTATTTTTTAATTGCAGGGACTTCCATTTTGATTTTATGATTAAATAAACTTTGCCAGTTTTTTCAAAATTTTTTTTCAATAATTTACTGTTATAACATTCCATGTATAAATGTAGGATGCATTTGGAATTATAAAAACCATTTATCATAACTTGAAGTCTGTAGATTCAGAGAGGAAGTGCTTGCAATTTGCATATTCCTTATCAATGGTTAGAATTTCCTTTCTGGAGACCTTTCACCATGGATCGTTTTACAGAAATCTAGTGGATTGCTGCTCTTATATTTCTATCCAATATGTACATATTAAACAAGCAAGGCAGTTGAGTGAGTACGTTATAAGATTGGTTTAGTTTTTAATGAGCTTAAAACTTGATCTTCAAGTTTCGGTTTCATGATTTGAACCAAACTGAAACAAAACTCAATCTAGCCATTCTCAAGAGATTAAGTTGTTTGACTGGGCATCATCTTTGAACTTTATATTACTCCATCATTGGAGCTGGACTAGTTCACATGTTTTTTGTGTAGATCAAGATTTAGGAAACAATTAAGACCAATGAAGACTCAAGAACTATGTGATGCATCTAAGTTTATTATGCAGTCTTCAATTTCTATCAGTGCTTGCCCTGTATCAACAGCTCAGTCTCAATCTAAGGCTCAATAATACGAATATATTCAAGTATCACAACACTTTCTTTGTTAAGTTATACTGTATTAGTACCATGTTTGTCTAATCCAAATACTATGAATTTGGCATGTTTAATCCAAATACAAAACAGCTTTCAATAGCTTGCTAAAAGAAACCATGGAAATCTCTTGTTGGTTCAAAACGCTTTTGCTCACTCAACTCTTCCTGGAACTTCTGAAGTGTTTCAGTTTTTTTTTCCCTTTGAATTTCAATGCACATAGAGACCCTAATTAGTTCATGATGTATGATAAGTGATTAATTTACGTTATATTTGAATGATATTTTATGTTATTTTTAGTCACTTTGGTTATATTATTGGAAGAAAATGAATCATTTTGGCTATAATTGGGAAAAAATGTTCTTAAGTGATTAAATGAGGTTTTTATCATTTTTTACTTGCATTTTGTGTATTTTGACAGTTTTGATATATTTTAGTATTTCGGCTATAACTTGAGCTACAGTAATCGGATTGAGATGATTCTTGAACCAATTTGAAACTAAGAGACGTATCTAAATTTGGTATGAAGACATTAGAGTCCAATTTAGCCGTTTTCTCAGTCAAAAGGTCGAAATACCAAAGTTCAACACTGCTGTCCAAAATTGAAAACAGAACTCTGACCAGGCTTTAGTATTTTGTTCATGTCTCGGTCTACAAAGTTTCGATTTGGATGATTCTTGAAATATTGTAAAGTTAATTCAAAGGGCTACAACTTTTATGTTTTGCACAAAAACTAGTTCGGTCTCAACCATAAAGGAAATCGTAGTTGAAGCGAGGCAAAAAGCACTGAGTTGAAAACGCGAGTCATCAAAACATGGCTTGAAGCCGCGTTTTGTCAAGTCCTGTTTTGTAGCCGAAATTCTGCAATTTGCTCAGCCATTTCTCTTATATTCATACTACTTTCCAGTTATATTTGGTAAGAGAATTCGGTTACACATGCTTTTGATGCATAAAGGAGGAAAATAAGGTTTATTGTCAAGTCAAAAACCATTGTTTTTTACTTTCTTAATAAATTGAGATTTGAGAATCATTAGAGTGGAAGTTAGACCGGTGGAGAGGAGTTTTTCATCGGTTTTTATACAGAGCAACAAATGGGAGATAGGGGAGAAGCTTGGAGTCTGCAGAAATGTAGCTCTTCTATTTTTTTAGTGTCAGGTTAGTTTAGTATAAAGTAGTATAACCCATCCACTCTTGTATATTGACTAGATTAGGATGAAGATGGAGATGAAGAAGGAGGAGTTGAACCTCAAGTGACATGGGTTATCTCTTCTCTAACTCTTTATCTTTTGTATTGGATTCTTAAATATAGTTAATATGCAAGTTCTGGATTTTGTGTTTATTATGTATTTTTAAAGTTTATGCATTGGATTTGGTTGAACTTTTTATGATTGTTAGTGTTTATTATTTGGTTATTTGATGCTATTATTTGAGTAAGTTATTTAACACTTTAAATCATAATTAATCTAGTACCATTAATTGTGATTATCTAAGGTGTTGTTTCTACAATGAAAATTGAGATTTAACACTGGTTCAAGAAGTGCTAAACATAGGGAGTACACTCACGAGTGTAGAGATGCACCTATGTGGTTTTAAGTGATTCATTTCATGTAAACGTGGGATCAAGCCACGTTTGGATGACTCATGTTTTCAACTCTGTGCTTTTTGCCTCGCTTCAACTGCTATTTCCTCTATGGTTGAGGCCGAACTAGCTTTTGTGCAAAATACAAAAGTTGTAGCCCTTTGAATTAGCTTTACAATGCTTCAAGAATCATCCAAATCGAAACTTTGTAGACCGAAATATGACCAAAATACCAAAGCCTGGTCAGAGCTCTGTTTTCAACTTTGGACAGCAGTGTTGAACTTTGGTATTTCGACCTTTTGACTGAGAAAACAGCTAAATTAGACTCTGATATTTTCATACCAAATTTAGATACGTCTCTTAGTTTCAAATTGATTCAAGAATCATCTCAATCCGATCACTATAGTTATAGGCGAAATGTGTCAAAATGCACAAAATCCAAGTAAAAAGTGATAAAAATCTCATTTAATCACTTAAAAATATTTTTCCTCAATTATAGCCAAAATGATTCATTTTCTTCCAATAATATAACCAAAGTGACTAAAAATAACATAAAATATCATTCAAACATAAAATCATGAATTGACGGACTTTTGATGTAAGTGCAAGTTTAATTTCGATTTTATACCCGTTTCTCTACAAGTATACAAGTCAATCAAGTAGTATAGGGCATGTATCGGGTCGATTCCACGAGAAGCAAGTTAAACAAATACGAGGTCCTTATTTACTGTATTATTTAGACTAAAAATAAATTTGAGTAGAAATATTATAAATGCTACTTCCTACAATTTGATTAGATCAATGTAAGTTACAAATTGAGAAAATTCACTAAAAACTTGAATCTATGGATGTAGATTTCACTTATGGCACAAAACATGCAAATGAATGAATTTAATACTTGTTACTATTCTTGTTTAATTAGGGATTCATTTCCATTAATACCAAATTTCATTTTCATGATAATATGGTCTAGAACAGCCTAATTTTCCCTAATCTCTTGGTGAAAAATTAAAACTGCTCTTATTTCATTCATGAAATACAAATTAATCCACTTGAGTATATTTCTATTCTCATGAATCTACAACTCAAGTTCTGCTCATGTTATTCCATTATTATTACCAATTCTCATGGAGTAATAACAACTATAAACCTGTTATTGGTGATCAAACAAAAACAAGTAATTAAACATGCACAAGAAGACAAGTTAATACAAGATACAACAAGTGTAAATCACATTTAATTCATATCACTTGGCCATAAGTTTCATCTACTCCCTAGATGTAGAAATTTAGCTATTCATGAATGATATCACAATCAAACTCATAACTTCATTAATGGAAAACATAATGAGTTACAAGTACAAAAAGGATAAAGAAAAATTTAGCCAAATTAATGATGAAACCTCCAAAATTCTGCTATGTCTTGCATTAGATGATTACAAGATGAAGTCTCCAAGTGTTTTTGCAAAATTTGCTAGATAGAGGAATGTGTTCTACTAGAAAATTGCTCTCCTCCCTCCCCCCAGATCTCTCCATGTTCCTCTGCATAAAAACTGCTCAAAAGCTCCTCTCCACCGGTCTAATTTTCACCCTTTGATTCTCCAAATCACCTTTTTGTTAAGATGATTTTTGACTTGGAAATAAACCATATTTTTCTCCTTTATGCATCAGAAGCATGTGTAGTCGTATTCTCTTACCAAATATAACTAGAAAGTAGTGTGAATATAAGAGAAATGGCTGAGCAAATTGCAGAATTTCAGCTACAATACGCGAATTGACAAAACGCGGTTTCAAGGCACGTTTTGATGACTCGCGTTTTCAACTTTGTGCTTTTGACTTCACTTCAGTTGCGATTTCCTCTATGGTTGAGGTCGAACTAACTTTTGTGCAAAACATAAAAGTTGTAGCTCTCTGAATTATCTTTTCATTGCTTCAAGAATAACCCAATTCGAAACTCTGTGGCTTGAAATATGATCGAAATACCAATGACTGGTCAGTCTCTTGTTTCAGTCTCGTCCATAAAATGCAGTTTCTGTATTTCGACTTTTTGTCCATGAAAACAGCGGAATTGGATTTCGATGTCTTCATACCAAATGTAGAGCTATCTCTTAGCTTTAAAATGGTATAAAGATCACATGAATTTGATATGTGTAGCTTCAGATATAGTCGAAATATCGAAAAGTGTCAAAACTGTCTTGAACTACATTTTTTTAATTAAATGTTTTTCACTTCATTTTTTCTTACACACTTCAATTCATCACCATTCGTCAGATTTTCTTCTCAATTCATACCCTTTGATGATTGAATCATTAATCCTGCAAGAAAATGAAGTTTTTTACCCTTAAAATCAATAGAAATGCAATGTTAGCCACTTTAATAAAAAATGTATATTTTTACCAAAATCCTAATTATTTTAGTTATAAACTCGATTACACTACTGAAATTAACTAATAAAATACACTTAAAAACACGTAAAATATACTTTTATCAAATACCCCCACACTTGAACCATTGCTTGTCCTCAAACAATTAGAAATACAAACCAATAATGATTCAACATTTTTGAAGTAAACATATGTGCTCAAATCAACTTCATTTCCTTGAATCAAGGTAAATAACCATTATGTGATTTTTCTTTAATCCTTAAGTACTTATAATATCATGTAAAGAAGAGTCAAATATACCATAATTATACTAATTCAATTCAATTCCTCATTTTTGCCTAATTTCACAATCAAGCAACTCATATAATTAATAAAGATGCTAACTAATCTCATGATCAACTTCTTATTTTTCTTAAAGAGGGATTTATTCTTTTCACATAGCTAAATACTATTTAAGTTGTGATAATGCCTTTTGACGCGAAAATCGACATTTTTAGATGAAGATCATTAGTTATTTAACATTTCACATACTCAAGTTGCTTTTCATACTCTTAATCCAAGTACCGTTTTACGCGAAAGTTGACATTTATAGATGAAAACTCTCGGTTATTAAGTACAAGAACCATTAGAATAGAATAACTCTTATTATTTTTTTTACAAGTATATAGAGAAATAATAAAATTCCCTCTAAAGAATAATCATGAAAAGAGTGTGACACTTATTGACCATATTAATTTCTTAACTTATAAAATCAAATAAAAATAAGAAATTTCATCAAATATGCAAAATGTATGCATAATTTTCACAGTTTTACTAGATATACTTTTCTACAAATATAAAATTATAATCACATAGGGTCTGTTTGGATTCTTGTTTTTGGGTCTATTTTTGAAAAACTGTTTTTCACAATCCAAATGCTACAGTAAATGTGTATTTAAAAAACAACTCCAAAAATACCAATATCCAAACAATATATCAAAAACAACTCCAAATACATATTTAATATGTTTATTTCAACTTATATATTTCAATTATGTATAGGATATATATATTATATTAATTTAAATATATTTATTTATACATATTATAAATATTTTACTTTATATAAAATATATTTTTATATATTTATATAAATATTATATATTATATAAATTATATATATTATAAATATGTTATTATACATTTATATAAATGTTATATATTATATATATTTAATATATACATAATATATATTATATATATTGAACATTTATATAAATGTACATTTAAACATAATATATATATTTATGCATATTTATAATATACATTTAAATTATGTATTATATATAATATAATACATTTATACATTTATA